GTTTTCCAAGTTATCTGCTCGTGGAATCTGATCTTGGAAGAGATCTGTACCTGTAGATGTGAGAGCCTCCTTTTTCAGAGTCAAGAAGCACCCATGCTCCTGCTTTGAACCCTCAGCCCTGCGCATCCTGGAGTCCTGCTCACATTCCCAGCTAACCTCTTCCAGCAGGTGCTCTGAAGGGCTTATGGCTGAACTCATCTCTGGAGGCCTGACTATGGGATGCTCCAGCTGCCTCACCATCACCTTCCCGAGGTGGCTAAGCCAGCAGCGGGGACAGAATTCCAGCCTCCTCTCCTGGAGGCTCACATACTGTTTGCTCAGTTCTTACTCCATGTGGGATCAGACTGAGGCTAGATTCTCCCGAGTCCACAGCTCCTGCTCAGCTTCTCCCCTCCCTGCCTCGCCTCCCACCTGCACTAGTTTCTCCTGGGGATAGGGAATACTCATCTCAAGGGTACTCTTACCAGGGAAATAGCAGCAAGAAACAGACGGTTGAGCCAGAAGTTGAGTTCAGACTCCAGCCCCACTGCTTCCTTGCTCTGTGACTCCGGGGAAGTTTCTAAACCTCTCTGATGGATGCTGAGGCTGATCCACACCCCCAAGTGTGGCAATCGAAAGTGCCAGGGGCTGGGGTCATGGCATGGCTACTTGAGCTGCTGCTTAGGGCACCCTCATCCCATATGATGGGGTCTGGAGTGGAGTCCCCCCTCCATTTGCAGTCCAGCTTCCTGCTGATGTGCATGGAGACAGCAGGTGATGGTTCAGATGCTTGGGACCTGGGTACCCTCATGTATCTGGAAGAGCTGGGTGGATTTTCAGGTCACTGACTGTTGCGGGCATTTAGGGAGTGTTCCAAATACCTGGGGCCTCCTCTGTCGGTCTTAGGTTGTCAACTTTCAATAAAGTCAAGTCCTTGTTAACTGTCACTGTTGAGATTACGGCTCACTTCTTTAAAAAGAGAGAGAGAGAGGAAGAGAGGGTGTTTTTTGTTTTCAAGTCCCCTCTCCTGCTGCCTAAGGCAGCTGAGTGAACATGCTTTTTTCTTTCCATGGAAGTGGGCACTTTACTAATTTTCTCCTAAGGAGCCATGCACTTCTTTACCCAGTTTCGCTGTGTTGCTAAATCTTTTCACTTGGATTCTTTGCACTCTTGGTTTCCTTCTAGCACCGAGTGTTCTCCTTGGCCATGTTTTTGCATCAAAATACAGCGTTTTCTTCAGAATATTTCCTCTGTTTGCAAAGTGGCTGCAGCCACAGGTGATGAGGAGATAAAAGTACAAATCAAGCCATGATTGGTTGCTGCCATTGGCTGCTCTAATTTGCCCAGACCTTACAAAAAAAAAAAAAAAGCACGAGGGAAATGAGGAGTGCTGATGTTGCAGCTGTTACGAAGTCCCTGGAAGCTTCAGGAATTTGTACAACAGGCAGGATATTAGCAGGATATAATTATGAGTGTGCGTTTCAGAAATCGCCAGCTTGAAATCTTGAACTTACTATTCCGTTAATAGAAACACTTCAGTCTTCACGATAATGAAAATGGGAACTAATGGCCCCATATTTGCGTTTTTACTACAATAAGCAAAAAAAAAACCCTTGGGCCTAATTATAGTATTATAGGAAGGATGATCGTAACTTCACTAAAGGGTGAAGTGGGAATTGGATGCAATGGTGATGATGGTGGTAGTGGTGACATGAATTGGGGGTCTCACCAAGTGCCATGTATTTTGGTAAAAATGCATACATCACATGTAATCCCCACAACACCTTTGAATGTGGGTGGAGTCTGTTACTTTACAGATAAGGAAACCGAGACCTTTAGAAGTAGACGGCTAAAGATGTCACGATGGGTGGATTGGTTACTCAAACCTCTGAGCACTCTGATTCTAGATCCTGGATTCATGACCACTTTAAAGGGGGCAAAACTGGCCATAAAATAGTTCACCAGCAAATGCTAGCTCCCCCCTGCCTCCTCTTAAACTTACCATGCAGAACAGAGCATGGGAACCTGGTCCTAACCCTGACCCTGGACGAAAGCAGTTAGTCTTTCTCAATTCCCCATCTCAACCTCCTGCTAACTTTCATCTTCCTTTCTTGTGTTGAGAGAGCATAAATAGATCCTTATTCAGATGTGCACCTGCAGGTCCAGGTAGCCGAGAAGAATCTTTGGCTACTTTCTCCCCTTTCAGGGAATTGAGCAGGACAGGAGACAGAGGGGGATCTCCACCAGCTAGTAGAGCCACAGCTTGCTTTCTCCTGTGGGAAGACCAATGGTGAAATACCTCACACTTAAGGGATGATTAGCCTTGGGGGTGGTGGCTGGGTTTTCCTGTCTGAGTTGTGGACCACAGAGCTAAGCCAAGCAGGGCCAGCGACTACTTTGGTGTCCTGCCCTCAAAGCATTTGGGATACTTCTAGAAGCTTTTGGACTCCAATGGGTGACCCCAAGAAAACCAAAATGTAACCAAGTGCTCAGTTGGAGCATTCAAACAAATGAGCCCTCTGTGAAGGGGCAATGCTGGGCTGTAGTGGAGCTGCCAGAAGTTCTCATCACACTGAAGGCAATGACCTAGGGAGGAGGAAGACCAAGGAGAGAAGCAAATTTCTCTGCCCTGTATGTAATTGTCAACAGCCAGCAGGGGCCTTTCCAAAACACTTACCCGGGGTTCACCTTCCTCTTTCAGATCCTTCACCAGGTCCCTCTTGCTCCCAAGACAGAATCCAGTCTCCTGAGGAGCTCCCGTGTTGCCTCTTTCTTGTCTCCCCTTCTGCCCTTCTCATCCTGTCCCTCCACCGTGGTCAGAGCTCCAGCTTCCGTGAGCCGGCAGCCACATGCCCACATGTTAACTGGCCTTTGCATCTCATTGCTGCTGTTTGGTTCTGTTGTCTTGCATGCCTCTGCCAGCTCCCATTTGTCTTTGAAGCTCAACTCAGTCAACACTTCCAGAAAGCCTTCCCTGGCTTCCCTTAAAGTTTGAAATGTCTCGCTTGCCTTGCTTAGCCGTGTAACATACTACTGCACCATGTTTGTCTATTAACCTGCCTGTCATCCTGAGCAGCCTTTAAACTGTTTGAGGATGGGATCCTGTTGGCTTCTTTACTGTTTATAGGTCCAGAGACAGCCAGTGTGCTTAGTGCTTAGGGAGTACCCAATAATTATTTATTGAATGGTTCTCAGGGGAACTTCTAAAAGGTGATTCTCGCTGTTACCAGACCTAGAAAATATGGTTCAAATGTGGGTGGAATCATGGTTCACAAGCAGCTTTCAAAAACAAAAAAAGATGTTCATGCTCAAAGCCATTAGAGATAGATTTGCATTATAGACACTCAGCCCCTGCTGGATTGTAAAACTCATGAAGGAAAAACATTTTTCCTGTTTTATCATTGGATCCCCAGCGCCTAACACAGTGCTCAGAATGTGGGAGGAGCCCATGTTTCTCAGGTGCGTGATATATTCCCCACCATGCAGTTCATATGACCAGGCTCCTTGCTTCACCTCAGTCTTCTTGACTTGATAATGGGTGCCAAACTATCCGGTTGCTGTTCTATAAGGGTGCCTGGCTCAAAGTTGGAGCCGGATTGATGGTTTCTCAATTGTATATGTGGGGGCAAGACTTTAAAAGGCTCTGTGAGTATTGTCAGGAAAGCTGTAGTTATCGAGAAGTAAGCTGGTGTGAGGCGGGAGGAATTAGGAGAAATGAGGGCTTGAGGCTGCCTTGAGCAGGCTTCTGAAATTGGTTAGTATCGCCCAATGAACCATTTGAAATTGACATGATGGCCTTGCCTAGTGCAAGTCTTGTGCATTCCTCCCATGAGCCAACGTTCTGATCTCTGCTCCGTGCCCAGCTCTCAGCTTGTATCTGTCTCACATTTTTGCTCCTGGCCATGACAAGACCATTAAGGAAAGAGCAGAGGTGCCACAGAAGGGACCATTTGTCCTGCACCATTTTTGGGCAAGGTCCCTAGAGAACTAGCTTACTTCTGGTCTAATCCTTTTGCCTTACCCCCAGACTGGGGAGAAAGGAGGAATTGCAGACAGGGTTACAGGAGGAGATTTCAAACAGTTCATGGAGAAATGGAATTAAAGGATAATCGTTTTGGTTCCCCAAAGGCCTGAGATCCATGTTTCATAATACACATTTTGCACCAACCTGTTGAAGACCCCTTGTGTTTGCATTTTCATGAACTAGGAGGAATGCAGCTTAGAAGAAATCTATCACGTTGACTTGATACTCTACAAGGAAAAAAAAAACCCACAAGGCCACACTGCAATAATTTCCAATCTTTGTTTATCTGATGAAGTAGGCAGCTGACGGGAGAAAAGTAAGGGGCTTTTCTCAAATGCCAATATTAGGAGTCCAACCTCTTTAACTTATGCTGGCTAGAAACCTCATGCATGATATTTTATATTTGAGCCTTTAAGGAAAAATCAGTCCCTTTGGGGGCAGCTAACCCCAATTTTTTGCAAGGGTAAGTTAATTAATCTTAGCTTTCCATGTGCTGAATGAGAATGATGATAATACCCTTTCCATAGAGTTGCTAGAAAGATTGAATAGCATCATACATGTAGACAGTTTGGTACACTGGCAGGCAAATGAGCCTTCAGATAAATGGTAGATGGTTGTCAGCATGATGACTATGATGATGATAAAATCCAAAAGTGGGCACTGTTTGTGAAGCCGTTGTTACTCACTCCTGGACCACCTAGGGTAAACCTGAGAGAGTAGAACCGCAATATTTGCTTCAGGATAATTTCATGAGTTGCTAAGGACACGCTTTGATAAAACCTGCCATATCTCATCTTACACCTTTGTACCCACAGCAGCCAGAGCCTTTCATCTCACTTGACATCCATCCATCCATCTACCCATCCACCCACCCACTCATCCATCCATCCATCTATCCATCCATCCATCCATCCATCCATCTATCCATCCATCCATCCATCCATGTCTGTTCATCCATGTATTCATCCATCCATATTTCTTTTCCTCTCTCTCTCAGGTTAAAGTGCCACAATAAATGCACCAAAGAAGCCCCTCCCTGTCACCTCCTGATCATTCACCGAGGAGGTAAGTATTTAATTCTTGCTGTGCCAGGGGTAGCAAAGGGCTGGAAATGATTGCAGGCCATCCAAGACACTAATCCCATCCAGCATGATTGCGAATGCTCCCTGATTCCTGATATTGGCCTGTCTCATTTCTTTCTCTCTCACACCTTATTCCTGACATCTCTCCTCGTGCACCCCCTCCACCCTCTTTTTCCCTGTTGGTGTCTTCTCTACTGGTCTCCCCCAGAACCCTGTTCTCTCATCCTTGTCTCCTCCTACTCTTCTCTTTGCCCAAACCACACTGTTTTTCCTTCTCACTTACAGAGCTCTGACTGTTTTCTATGCATGTTTCCCAAGATTAAGCTGACGGACCCTGCATAAGTGGGGATAGGCAGAGTTCTGGTTCAAGTCTGTTGGTTTGAGGTGTCATCCCCCTGATGCCTTGGACATGTCTGAGTCTCCCTGCAGCTGCCTCTGCAGCTGGGGAATTCATATCAGCCTCCCTATCGGCCAAGCAAGGACAGTATAGCCAGAAGGTTTTTCCCTACCTGCTCAGGACTTCATAGTGGGCACCTCCTTGAGAAGTGTTGTGGTCCAGCTTTTAACATTGTTCCTCTAATTCTTGAATGTTTGGGTTGTAAACCCTGGACATCATTTTCCATATTTTGTTTTATCTCCAAGTGGACCCTTTAGGCCTGTGCTATCAAATAGACTAGCTACTAGCCACATTTGACTATATAGAGTTGCTTAACATTAAATAAAACTATTTAATGTTACTAAATAATTAGTAACATTAAAACTAACCATATTCCAAGGGCTCAAGAGCCAGTTGGGCCTACCGCATGGGATAGTGTGGATATAGAGCATTTTCGTCACTACAGAAAGTTCTTACTGGACATCATGGTACAGTCCTTTGCTATTCAAAGTGTGGCCCATCAGCCAACAGCCTGGGTGGGGATCACCTGGGAAGTGATTGAAAATGCACAATCTCCGGCTTGACCCCAGACCTAGTGAATCTGTGTGTTTACAATATCCAGAGGGGATTGCCACATGTGTGAATGTTGAGAGGCCTTGCACACAAATGGAGGTCATATGTAAACTCACCTATGTCGTGGTTGCCCCACAAGTATCCTAATTGGAAAAAGCTGCTGAGGTATGGATGAGCAAAACAGAAAGCTCAAGCACTATTGAGAGATAGGGTCGTCACTCCAGCAAGAGTGTGGACCTGTTCTGCTAGCATCTCTGACATTTACAACAAAAGCGGAAACAGTTTTGTGTTCCATATGTGTATTTTTAAGCGGTAGCAATGTATTGCAATGTTTCAGACTCCTACTGGCTGAGTACCTACTACTCGTCTCTGGATGGAGGGCTAGAGCCAATAGAGAACAATTTTGGGAGGACAGCATCCTGCTAACCTAGGTCCAAGTCTTCCTTCTTTGTCCTCCCCTATTCCCAGTTCTTGGATAGTCGTGTTCAGGGGAATCTGGCCACAACTAGAATGAACCCAGGAGAAACTTCATAAAGTAGGCACATTGCTGCCAAAAACCCAATAAGCAGTCCCAAAGCCAATGGGCAGTTGGTTTTCCATGACTCTATATTGTTTATCTCCACAAAGAGAGAAAATTGCAAATGAGGATGGAAAAGTATTTCAGCTCCCTTCTCTAGCCTCTTCCTACCCACACCTCATCTTCTCTCAACCCTCCCTCCCCGTTCTTAATTAAGAGGCATCTGTTCCTTGAGTAGCTGTTTACACTAGGGAGACTATTTTAAAACCTGGGTGGAATCTCACTGCTTTTGAACCTTTGCCTTGGGTCAGCTTCACCAGGGAAATAGTCTCTCACCAGATGCCTCTCCATGGTGGGAGCCGGCTGGAGCCTGACTCTGGGGTACAGAGCAGACCCAGCCACTGAACAATGACCTGCTCCCAAAAGGGTCTCATTTGAAGCAGGTCTCCTGTCCACCCTCCTCCAAGGTCATTCCCACCCTGGCCAAAGGCAGCAAGTGCCCATGCAGACAAAGACATCTTCAAGTCTGCCAGCTTGTTGCTTTCCCCCCTTGTTGGTAGGAAGTTGAAAATAGCTTCAGTTTCCATGGTGATGGCAGCCCAGGCAAAGCAGAGAAAGCAAATCCCTGGGTCAGTTCAAAGCTTTGACTTCTCAGTCAACTCAACCCCTCTCATCTTTGTGATGAAACAATAAGTGTCAAGTAATAATCCTGGACAACAGGTCTACATTGGAAGTTCCCACTCCTGCCCCCTTGCTGTGGGCTCTGAAAGGGCAACAATAGGAGGGAGAGGGTCTTGGGGGACGTGACATCTGAGAGGAAGTGGTTCTTTAGGGCCAACTCTGAATCCACTTTCCCATTGGGCTCCAGAAAGGGTCCCTAGGGGCAGGTCGGAAAGATTGATCCTGGGAGTAGATCCCAGATCATTTTAGACCAGTAGTAGCATGCAACAGGTGGCTCAAGCCTGAGAAATCAGAAAAGCTGTACAAGATGACCCCCTTTAAAAGAAACTTAAAGGGCAGGGACAGGAAACCATCCCAAGCTGTCCACTGAGAAGTCTGCAATCTCTTGCATTTAAAGTGGAGTTCAATTCTGAAATGAATGACAGTATGAAATAATTAAGATATTGCACAAGAAACCTGATAGCTCCGGTTTTATTGTTGAAACTGTTGACTAGCAGGACTCATAACCTAACAATGTAAAAAATTCAGGAACCACAGAAAGTACCCCAAATCCAGTCATGGGGACACACACTGTCCCTTTTAGTGAATTCTCCGCTAATCTCAGAGATGGGTTCACTGGACAGAGGCTGAGCTGTGATCTGGCATAATCAGTGTCAACGTGATACTTAAACTCTCACCTTGTTGTCTTTTACCCCTACGGATCCAGCAAGGTTAGTCCGAACAGAGTCAGTCCCATGTGACATCAACAACCCTCTGAGGAAGCCACCCCGGTATTCAGACCTGCACATCAGCCAGACGCTCCCCAAAACCAACAAAATCAACAAGGTGAGGCCGGGCTTCCCCTGGGTCCAGACGTGTGGGGTTGGTACCTCCTGGCAAAGGGAAGGAGGGAGGCAAGGCCAGGCTTCCCCTGGGTCCAGACGTGTGGGGTTGGTTCCTCCTGGCAAAGGGAAGGAAGGAGGCAGGGGCTGAGCTGGGAGTGGGGCACTCCTCTGCGGCCCCTCTGAGACTGTGTGGTTAAGCTTGGCAGGCTGGCAGGAAGAGGCAGTCAAATGCACTTGCCAGAAATCTGCTTCATGGGAAGAGAGAGCACATGGCGGGAAGAACGAGTGAGTGTGTTCAGGAGCACACAAAGGACCTGGGAAGGGAAACCAGATAGGCATTTGCTTAGTGGTATGGACCTTGCCCGCTGTGCTTTATGAGATGTCTCACCATCTGCCAGGATTAGCCTTATAGATGCTTCTGAGCTTTCTGACACATCTGTTGGATAAAACCTCTTAGGATCTGTCTCTGAGCTTCTGGTGGAGATGAGGAGGAGAGGGGATATTTGTAGGGGCCCTGAGCTCTGAGCAACAGCCAGTTGGACTGGCTCCTACCCTTCGGCAGATGGTCAGCGATGGACCTCTCTGTGCAGTTTTCTTTCCACTGATGCCCAGGCAGCATGATCTTCATATCCCAGGTTTGGGCTATTAGCCAGGCTGTACCCCTGCCCCAAGGATGCTTCCAGCCCCTCACATAGGAGGAGGCACAAAGTTACACCAGGCCTTCCTCCGTTGTATTGAAAATGGACCAAGCGTGGATCAGCCCCAGGTCCGGATCAGTCGCCCATCTGTGTTTGGGTTCTGGATGAGTGTCATGGAGGCCACTGAGTTCTCATTGGCAAGACCCAGTCTCATGTCCCTGGATAAGCTGGAGAGAGGGTGGCTTCTCCTCAATACCTCCTCCAACACGGCAGCCGGAGTCTGAGTCATTTCACTGCCTGCTGACACACCATCCAAAGGCAGTATTGCATTTAGAAAACAGACTTTGACTACACTGATAAGGCCATGTGTAATTTGATCTCTGCGTCTTCTCTGTTTCCACTGCCTCTCCAACAAAGATCAATACGCTGTTTCCCCCCCTGTGCCGTCACTCAGAGATCTGACTGCTGAATTTCAGAGCCATTCACCTTCTGACTCTTTGTGGCATTGTGCTAGTGGTTGAGAGAATCAGTAAACCTGGCAGCCAGTGTTGGCTTCCTCTGCTTATAGCTGTAAGACTTGAGACAAGTGACTGAACTTCCTTGAGCCTCAGTTTTCCTGTTTGTAAAATGGGGGTACCATGGTTATAAAATGGGGTACTGCTATGCAGCAGACCACCCCTAATCTAATGGGGTACAGAAACTCTTCATTATTCTCTCACATCAGAGGGTCAGAGATCATGGCAGAGCACAGAGAAGATGGTTTGTCCTTGTTCTCAGACATGCCGGGACTCCACTGGGAACACACACAGCTGGCACTGGCCTCATTCAGGACAGGGATTGGCAAACTCTGGCCTGCATGCCAAATCCAGCCCACTGCCTATGTTTGTGGTGGAAGTTTTGTTGGAACACATCTATCGCCACTGTTGAGGCTCTGTTGCATTACAGAAGCAGAGTCCCCAAGGCCTACAGAGCCTAGAATATTTACTTTCAGGTTCTTCATGAAAAAATCGTGCTGACTCCTAACCTAAAGGCTCTTTCCCCCTACATGTCTGTTGCATCGAAGTCTGGGCTTTGTGGAGATGTCAATGAGGGCATCTATGTGGGAACTTGCCTTGTGGCTTGAGTTTCCTCACGTTATGGCTGCTGAGCAGTATAGTTGCTCACACCAGCTTCCTACATGGCAGCTCTTGACCCAGCGAGTGACTGAATTAGCAATGAAGGCAAAACCTTATGTTGCTCGTACTGTACTTTGCCAGTACAAATGATAATAAAATCCCAGCTTCAAGGGCAGGGGACACAGACCGCAAGTCTTGATGAGAGGAACCCAAGAGTCTAGAGATTTGGAGCTGTGCTTTTAAATGACCATGGTGGAACACCATGACCCAGTGAGTTTGGGGGAGATGAAATTGCATAATTAACATGTAAGTGCACGTGGCACAGTTCCTGGTACATAATAAATGCCCAGGAAATTGTGCTCATTATTATCAGCTTAAATCCAGTCCAAATGTCATGCTGATACCACTTCCCCTTCGGTATTTATTTGCAAAAGAGGCCGCTGGGACATCACTGTGCCTTCCTTCTGACCCTTCCTTCCCTTGGTGACATCCTGAGGGACAGGGAGTCCAGAATCACCTCCAGACCTTTCTTCCTTTACAGACACAAGGAGCCTCTCGGTGTCAGATGGGACAGAATCACAGGTCAGCTGGAGCAATGACTGTGACACTGTTGTGCTTGTCTGCCAGCAGAGGAATTTGAGGAGGGAAATAAATTAGCCTCTATATAGAAGCAACTCTGATGTGAAGGTGGACAGGCTCTATCATGACATTGGTTTGCCTCACACAGAATTTTTTTGTCAGGCAAGGATGTGGCCAGTGCAATTAATTTCTGAGACAATTTAGTCTGAACATTTCCTTTTCATTGTTCTTTGCCTCTTCTCTCTGGCTCAGCTGACCCAGTTCACAAAACTCTTTTCTTTTCCACCCACTACAGTTAGAGTGTGAATCTTGGAATCAGGAAGCCTAGGATTGCAACTCTGCTCCTTAGCTGGCTGTGTAACTATGAGCAGGTCATTTCTCAGTGTCTCTGCCTTAACTTTCTCCTCCATAAAACGGGAAGTATAATAGGACATGCTGTTGGGGTTATGGTGAGGATTAGATGTGAAATATATATAAAGGATTCCATGCAGCCATGGGTGCTGCAGGTATGGAAGTGGCTCAGTGATGAAGACAAAGAAAGAGGAAAGAAGACAGGGAAACTAAGAGAAAGAGAGAGAGGAAAAAAGATGAGGAAGGAGAGATGGAGAAAGGGGAGGAGAAAGAAGAACAGAATGCACCCAGTCCTCCTGCCCTGATGTGATCAGACAAGGCTGAGGAGGAAATAAGGTCTTGCATCCACAGAGGTGGTCCTAACCAAATCCTCACCCAGCAGTGCTGCAGCCCTAGCTGAGATGGGATCAGAGGAGTCTTAGTAAGGAGGCTGAACATTCACCACCATCTTTAACAAGACCCCTCTCCTCCCTGGAATCCATGCAGGCCACAGAGGGAAGAGTACTGAGGCATCCATGACCTCTTTCAGTAAGGATGGTATCCATATCCAAGGAACCTCATGAAGAAGCTGGATTTCTAACAAGCCATTAGTAATGAGGAAACTCTCCACTGTCCGGGAGCCAACAAAGGCTATTCTTCCTGCCTCTCCCTGTTAGTGACAAGGTAGTCCTTCCCCTTGCCCTGTTAGAGCAGTAGCCTAGGAAGCCAGCTGAAATAAAAGGTTCAAATAAACTCCAGAGTTTCGTACCATAACACCCAAGTGCCAAGTCTTCAATTTGTCATACTAATTACTTGTCATACTAAGAAACAAGAAGATCTCAAACTGAATGGGGAAAAAAAGGACTATCAATAGAAGCCAACTCTGAAATGACAGATGTTAGAATTATCTGACAACAATGTTAGGGCATTCATCATAAAACTACTTCAACAAGAAATTATGCACGTTCTTGAAGCAAATGAAATGAAAAAAAAAATAGGAAGTCCCTGCAAAGAAATAGAAAGTCTCCTCAAAGAATCAGAAGAAATGGAACCGTATGAAACTTTTACAACATACAATTAGAAAATACAATAACCGAAATAAAAACTCCGTGGATGGGCTCAGTGGCAGAATGGAAGGCGTAGTGTAAAGAATAAGGGAGCTTGAAGATAAGACAATAGAAATCATGTAGTCTGGATTACAGAAAATAGACTCAAAAGATGAGCAGAGCCCAAGGACTCTTGGAACTCTTACAAAAGATCTAACATTGGCATCATTAGAGTTCTAGAAGGTGAAGGGAGGAGAAAGAGGGTAGCACTGAAAAAGTTCTTACAGAAATACTGGTTGAAAACTTCCAAAATTTGGCAAAGACATAAATCTGCAGATTCAAGAATGGGAATAAAACCCAAACAATGTAATCCCAAAAAGTCCGTACTAAGACACATTGTACCAAAGCTGTGAAAAGGAAAGACAAAGGGAAAAAAAGAAACAGCTTTATGTCGAGGAAAAAATCAAATTACAGTGAGGAGAGAATCAAATTACAGCAGAGTCCTCATCCAAAATCTTGGGAGACCAGATGAAAATAGCACACCGTTTTTCAAATACTTAAGAAAAGTGTTTTCAGTTCATACTTTTATGCATAGTAAAAATGTCCTTCCAAAATGAAAGAGAAATCAAGACATTGTCAGATGATGAAGATAAATGAGTATTTAACAGTACAACTCCTCTCAAAGGATAAACAGCTGTGTTCTAGGTAGACAGGAGACAATAAAAGGACTTGGAAAAGCAGAAATGAAACTATGCAGAGAGTAAAAATGTGGGTAAATAATCATAATGCATTTACTTTTTCTTCAGTATTCTCCCATCCAAGTACTAACCAGGCCCGACCCTACTTAACTTCTGAGATTGGCTATGTTCAGGGTGATATGGCAATACACTTCTTCAGTATTCTAAATTAACAGTTGAAGCCAACAGCTGTAACATTGTTTTATGTGATTCTGAATGTATGCAGTGGAAATATTTAAAGCAGTTATAAAAGAGGGAGGGCAAAGGAAGGTAAGATTTCTTTATCTAGCTCACATTGGTAAAGTGTTGGTACTGGAAGAACCAACCATTTGATCCATTTGAGAATACTACAGACAAGTTGAGATGAATCTCTAAGCGCTGTTTGAACTACATAAAAGGAAAGCAGGAGATGTAAACCATAAAAGGGAGAAATTGTGAGGCCTTTAACAATACTAAGAAAGAAAAATCGCATCTTACCATCTACAGGAGTGCACTGGAACATCACAGACTTCACCATCATCAAGAGGTTCCTAGGGAAATACCACAGGCCACTCTGCATCGGTACTACAGCTGAGATGAAATGGGCCAGTCTCCTGAAAGCACAAACTGCCACATCAAATGTAGTGTAAGACAGATAGGCAGAAAAGTGTGATAACCGTGAATGAAATTGAATTAGTAATTTAAAAATTATCACACACTCCAAAACTCTCCATATAGTTTTCCTGGAAAATGGTGCCAAATGGAAAAAAGAATGAATGACAGTTGTATGCTACGTGTCCCAGAAAACAGAAACACAGACCTTCCGATTCATTATCTATTCCTGATATCACTTGATATCAAGTCAATAAATAAGTAAGCAAACAAATAAATAAAAACTACAGATGCCTATTTCTCATGCATATAAATTTTAAACTCCTTAACCAAACACTGAGGAAATCGTGTTCAGTGATATGGATGGGTGGAGCTTACTCCAGAGGTAAAACATTTATTCAATATTTGAAAAGTGATTAATGTAAACACAGCATAGTATCAAACAAAAAAGTACATAATTACATCACTCAATACAGGAAAAATTATTCAATGAAGGTCAGTAACCATTCAAGAAGAAATTCTTCAACTTGATAAACAGCATACAAAAGTGGTCCACTAGTGCCATTACAATGAAGAAAAATTACATTTTTTTTTCCTTAGAGTAGAGCTAAACTAAAATGCTCACTTGGACCATATTCACACAACATTGTTCTTGGAGTTCCCATCAGTGCAGTAGGACGAGAATAGACATTGAAAGACACACACAGAAATGAGAAAAGGAAGAAATAAAACTGCCTACGTGCAGATGACGTCAACATCTCCATAGAAAATTCCAAAGAATGTATAAAAGCAAAACAAAGCCAGACCTTACAATAGGACGAACAAGTTGGGCAATGAACATATGGAAGCCAAATTTAAAAGGTACCATTTACAATCTCTGTAAATCTGATTAAAACCATATAGGATTTGTACGCTGAAAACTTCAACAGGCTGGTGAGAGGAAACTCAAAGAAGTAGACATAGTGTTGTGGGCCAGGCCTCACTTCCACAACCTGGTAGTGTGATTTTGTTTGGAAATGGGGATTTGCACTTGTAATCAAATTCCAGTGAGATCACATTGACATTGGGTGGCCCCTTAAATACAATGTTATTTTCATTCCTTAAGAAGGGAAGAGAAGCAGAGGTACAGCAAGAGCACCGTGCAGAGACTGGAGTGCTGCAGGTGCACAGTGATGCCAAGGACCACTGGTCGCCACCAGGCTCTAGGAACAGGAAAGAGGAATTCCACCTGTGGTCCCAGAGAGCCTGAGCCATGGGTCTAAGAACCTTTTGGCTCTGAGAACTAAGAAAATAAATTTCTATTGTTTTAGACCCCTCTGGGTGTAGTACTTCCTTTACAACAGCCCTAGCAAACAGACCATTCCCGTGGGAAGATTCATCGTGATTAAGCCCAAAGTTTGCAATTCTGTGATTCTTTCAGTGATACAATGTTTATCTCAAATATCATGAAGGATATGAATGCTATATTTAGTCTTGGTCTTTACAGGCATTTTATATATGTGTATATATATGTTGTGTGTGTGTGTGTGTGTGTGTGTGTGTGTGTGTGTGTGTGTGTGTGTTTGTGTATGGGGTGTAACTGGTTAAGATGGGGTTGGGCATCTGGCCCATGGGCTGTGTAAGCTCCATGAAATCATTTGGCATGATCCTACCAAGGCAACTACAGGGGTGAGACTCAAAGCGCAGTACATCTGTAGCTAACAGATTGTTAAGTGAATGATTTAGTGTGGTCTACAAGTGATGCTACAAATATCCAAATGACCTTTGCCAGAAAAAAAAATGTTCCCCACCCCTATTAAATGTCAATACCAAAAATTGTTATACAGGTTTGACACAGATTTTTCCATAAAACTCCCAGCATGATTCTTTTCTGTAGTTAAGATTTATATAAAAGGTATTTTTTAAAAAGACACAAATGAACTAGCATAGCTTAAAACCATCTTGCAAAAATAAATAAATGAATAAAGTGAAAGGAATCAATCTATTCTGTTTTAGAACTTAGGATATAGCTACAGTCATCAAGACCAGAAATTACATTCAGATAATGAGTGAGCCAGTGAAAAGATATTCAGTAAAAGTCCAATTCAGAAACACACATCAGTTCCACAATGACTTATCACTATATTCCAATCCAGAATGTCTCCAATAAAAAATAGCCACACATGCAGAGACGCAGAGAAAAATCGCTCACTCTAATGAGGCTACTTTAAAAACTTTGTGGTAAATGGAATTCAAAGATAAGTTTATTTTTGGTGCAAAAAGTTTTGGAAATTTGTGCTTATGAGGATTCTTCAAGCATTCTTGGAAATGCATATCATGAAAAGAAGTATTATGGATTTCAAAAAAATTTTAGTTTGTTTTTTAGTTCCATTTTCCACTTGATAGATTGCTGGCATGAAATGATACAGCCCTTAGAAGAGCAGAGGTGGCAATTTCTTTAAAAGCTAAACATGTTATTTATTACAAAATGATTCAGAAATTTTACTCCTGAATATTTATCCTAGAGAAACAAAAAGTATAAGTTCACATCAAAACCTGTGCCTGTATGTTTGTAGCAGGTTCATCTGCAATAGCCAAAAAATAAGAAACAGTTTAGATGTGCTTCATTGGGTGCACAGTTAAAGAAAGTATGGCACAGTCCAGTCACACAATAGTTCGCAGCAATGAAAAAGGAACAAACCATCGAAACCTGCAGGAATTTCGATGCATCTCTAAAGATGACAAATGAAGACAGCCACTCCGCAAGATTTGCATGCGGCATGATTCCATTTATGCAGTGTTGAAATGATCAAATAGAAATGATGACTACAGATTCGTGGTGCCAGGGGTTTAAGTTTGGGGGTGTGGCGAGAAGAGGAGGAGGAGCACAGGGGTGTGGTTACAAAAGGGCAACAGGAGGGGCCTCCGTGGCAGAGGCTGCGGTCAGTGAATCTGCAATTACCTTAGAAAAATCCAGTTACAAAAACCCACAGCCAACCCTGTCACAGCAGCTGTTGGATGACCAAGTGCCTTGGTCCAAGGGAGAAGAGAGTAGACACATGGGACTTATTTAGCCTTCCCAGCAGACCCGTGTGCGGCTGTGGCCTGCACTGGAGAAGAGCTCACACACAGGTGGGCAGGCTCTGGGATGACAAGGTGGAAGGCTTTGGGCCTGGCTTTGCCTCTGGTGCTGCCCACGCTCCTTTTCAGACATCCCGTGTGGCTGCTGCTGCAGTGGCCATTGAGCCCATATAATACTTTGAGCCTCTCTTTCTGCTGCATCGTTTCAGCCACAGTCAAAGAAAAGTTCTCCACTTTTATGGGTTCCTGGACTAAGATTGGCTCCGCCTGCACAATCCTGGATGAACCCTCCTGTAGTACTGTCTGTGGCTTGGCCTGTGTCTGAAGTACATGCAGATTCTTGCATTGTGATACAGAATAGTTACAGATTCCCAGGATTAAGGTTTGGATCTCTTTGATTTGAAGAAGGGTGTTTTACCTACTACATTCAGGAGGGAAAGCAGTTTCCTTTGCTGTGGTTTTAGTAACCCCTAGTAACCACAGTCTGAAAACAGTGAATGGATATTTCCACAAATAACTTGTTCCTCAGTTTTAAATGGTACACTGTTCTGAGTAACAGGAGGAATTCTTCCTCCCACCAACCTTGTTGTTAGTCACCTAATATCCATCACCAGGGTGGATTGATTGACCCAGTATTTCAGTGCTGTGTTCAAGTAGCCCTCACATTGTTAACCTAATACCCATGGTCCCATTCTCAGTGAACAAAGCTGAGGAATGAGGCATCTTGCCCAGAATTCCAGGAAAGAAGTGGTTGTTGGATTTGAAGCCAGAATTGCCTTATTCCAGATCCTGCTGTGTTCATTTCCTGTGGTTGCCATGATAAATGAACACAAATCACATGGTTCACATGAAAACGATTTATTCCCTCATGGTCTTGGAGACCAGAAATCCAATGTCATCTGACAACATGTGGAGGCTCTGGAAAGAGAGTCAGTCCCTTGCCTCTCTGCTCCAGGTGACTCCAGCAATCCTTGGCTTCTGACTGCCTCATCCCAGCCTCTACCTAGGACAACACATGGCTTCCCGGCATGTGTGTGTGTGTATGTGTGTGTGTGTCCCTGTCTGTCCATCTGTCCACATATGCTTCCCTATCTCCTAGGATACTAATGAACGGTTGTCATGGATTTAAGTTCCACTTTTCCCAGTCTAATCTCATCTCAAGATCTTTATCTTAATCACGTCTTGAGAGACCCCGTTTCTAAAATGAGATTGGAGTCTGAGGTTCCTAGTGGACTTTCTTTGTGTGGGAGGGGAGACCCCATTTAGCCCACACCAGTGGCTCTGTTGAGTCCACCTGACCAGGGTCAAATGAGGATGCACACATGGATTCTTCCTCTCTCCCCCTTGCTGGTCCAAGGGGGCAGGGAGAGGCGGTATTGGTTGCAATTGAGATGTAGGCATGGATGCTGCAGGCTTTTTGGTCACACTCTCTGGAGCTGTCAGCCTACTGCTGCTTTAATAAAACACTCAGGGGGAAAGGTGTTAAGACTGGAAGAGTTCTCTGGGCACCTCAGCATGGGGTTTTTCAAAATCAAAGAGGCAGAGGGTGCGTGTCTGTCATCTTTGTGGTTTTCATTACATGGTAACCTTTCCCTCAGGACCCCAAGCAGGGACAGGAATTTAACTCAAAAACTGTTGTTTCCTTCTCTGGGTTGGGAGTGATGACTTAGGCAGGACTCTAGAAGGATCTCCTGGCCAGCAAAAGGATGGGAGTTGCTAAGGATCCAAAGGGTAGGACCCATCTTACTCAGCACACTTCCTGCTGTGTCTCTGCTCACTGTTGATCATTGGTGGCTTTGTTCTGCAGGACCACATCCCTGTCCCCTACCAGCCGGATTCCAGCAGCAACCCCTCTTCCACGACGTCCTCCACGCCCTCCTCGCCGGCACCTCCCCTCCCTCCCAGTGCCACGCCGCCTTCTCCCCTGCACCCCTCCCCACAGTGCACGAGGCAGCAGAAGAACTTCAACCTGCCAGGTACTTCTGTGCTTTGGGAGGTGGGTTGTGTCTCTCCAAAGGGGTGGAGACAAGCGAGGGCCTTGGGACTATGCTGGAGCTAGGTCAGGGCCAGGCCATGCATGAAGATAATGCAGGGCTTCTGCAGTCTTGCCCTGTCCACATGGGCTCAACAAACTGCTCCTCTTTCAGAACTCTCTCCTTACTCCACACAGTCGTAGTTGCATTTTATGCTAATCGTTTCATGCTTGGATCTTATTTGCTCTCTCGTTTGTCAAGTGTCTGCCTCCTCCAGCTCAGGGTCAGCTCCAGGAGGCAAGCACGTGTATGTGCTGCATTCAATCTGAGCCCAAGGTCCAGCACACTGTCTATTGCCAAAGACACCACTTAAATGTTGAATGGATAGATGGATGGATGAAGGACTTGCATTGAGTACACTGCCCAGGGCTGTGGTTTTTGTTTTTCTAAGTCATCTTGCTGACTCTCAGACTGTATTATCCATCCCTTTGGTCAACAGAGACTTACTAAGTATCGACCATGCACTAACCCTTGTATCAGGTATTAGATGCAGAGATGTGAACAAACCAGCCCCGTGGCTCCTGTGGTCATCAGCTCCTGGCATGGTAACAGAGGACCACAAACTCAGCATGGCTTAAAACAACACAAAGTTATTATCTTAAAGTTACAGAAGCTGAAAGTCCAAAATGGGATTCCCTAGGCTACAGATCAAAGTGTCAGCAGAGCGACATTTGCTATGGAGGTTCCGGGGGAACTTCCATTTCCTCTTCTTTGTGAGAGGTTGCCCACTTTCCTTTGCTTGTAGCTCCTGGTCACTCCAACCTCAGCTCCTGTGATCACACCTATGAATCTCTCTCTCTCTCTCTCTCTCTCTCTCTCTTTCTCTCTCACTCTCTGTCTGACTCTGACCCACCTAGGTGATCCAGGATCATTCTCCTCTCCCACCTCTGCCCCCCCCGGCCCACCCAGGGTCCCATACCCTTCTCTTAGACCCATGAAGTCCTTTTTGCCATGTGAGGTGACATAGGCACACTTACTGGAGATTAAGAAGAACGAGGATCATGGGAGGTATCCCATTATTTACCCACAACTGTCCCTGTTCTCGTGGAATTTATGCCTGACTGGGACAAATGTTAACAAGACAAACATGTAAAGGGCCTTGCAGAAGTTCATGAAAAATTTTATCATATGTATATATGATGGGGAAAAAAAAAACAGATATAGATGTTAAACTTTTTTCACATAAAGAAGCCTATGTTTCAATTTGATTTTTCCGTGTGCTTTTGGAAGCGCCCCAGTACATGCAAAAATAGAACCATCCACTATGATAAGAGTTATGAAGAGAAAGGGGAAAGCTACAGCAGATTCAAAGGGAGGACACAGCTGAGTCCTGAAGATGAAGGCCTAGGATTGAGGCCTGCTGTGAAAGGAGCTGTGAATGTCCCAGCGGTCCAAGAGCCGTCAACAAGGGACTTGACCCCAAAGGAAGCCTAGAGCTGCAGGGGTGAGGCCTGGCAGGAAGTGAGGTTTGATTGACAACTCCATGGAGTATAATCGAGTGTTTAGGCAGAAGATGACTGGGTCCTGCTCTCTTTCTTCTAGAAGAATGCTCTGGATGCTCTTTGGGGATGGCATAGGGCAGGAATCACGGCCCCAGAGGAGGCTGGCTGCAAGTAAACAATGTTAGAGAATTCACAGAGAAGACTGGGGAATTGCCTATATGTAGTTGTTTTCCTGAACGCAGAAATGAGTTCTTTGATTTGGCAGACAGAATGGTTCTCCCCAACCAACGCAGCCGTGTCCTCATACCAGCATCTGTGAACATGCTTTGCGGATATGGTTGGGTTACAGATCTTCAGGTGGAAAGTGTAGCTTGGAGCAAATGGGTGGTCCCCGTGTGTCATCCCCAAGGTGCAGAAGTTCAAAGACAGGAGGAGTGGTGTCAGAACTGAGGCAGAGAGCAGAGTGTAAGAGGGCTCGGTGCCTGGGCCCAGCGGCGTGGTCTAGTGGCTAAAGTCCTCGCCTTGAACATGCTGGGATCCCATATGGGCACCAGTTCTAATCCTGGCAGCCCCACTTCCCATCCAGCTCCCTGTCTGTGCCCTGGGAAAGCAGTCAAGGACAGCCCAAAGCCTTGGGACCCTGCACCCGCGTGGGAGACCCGGAGGAGATTCTTGGTTCCCGGCTTCAGATTGGCACAGCACTGGCCGTTGTGGTCAGTTGGGGAGTGAATCATTGGACAAAAGATCTTCCTTTCTGTCTCTCCTCCTCTCTGTATATCTGACTTTGTAATAAAAATAAATTTAAAAATCTTAAAAAAAAAAGAGGGCTCGGTGCTGAGATATGCAGGTGAACTGCTGTGAAAGACAGCTGGGGTTCCCTTCTGAACCCCAAGAAGGAAGCAGCCTGCCCACTCCTTGACGCCCTAAGTCTCTGTGAAAGTTGGACTTCCCCTTTGTCGGAGGACACATGTGTGTTATTTTCAACTATTACACCCATAATCGTCTGTTGTGGTAGGTACAAAGAAACTGAGTGGATGCTTGATATAAAAAAAAAATGTTAAATATAGGAAAAGCATAGAGATGTTTTTCAAAGCAACTGCAATCACCCTGCCCAAAGTGGAGATGGGGTTAGGGATGAGAAATATTAGGTTGAATTATGCCCTGACAGAAGAGTATGTTATAATGGCCGAGGATGGCTTGTACTCAGGAGGACTCGAGAGGTGAAGCGGTCTGGTTGTGGGGAGCATGAGATGTCAGAAAATGGAGCATTGACCTATGTGGACAGAGAATGGCCTGTGATGGCTGTGGGAGCCCCAGTTTGGTACCTAAAGAGACAGCTCCTGGATGCTGCTCACTCACTTTGTTGTACTCTTTCTCTCTCTTGCAAGCATCCCACTACTACAAATTCAAGCAGCAGTTCATCTTCCCAGGTGAGTATCACGAGAGCTGAAAACAGCCCCTTCTGGACAAACCCTGCCAGATGCAGGAGTTCTTGGGGTGAATGGAGAGGTGCACACAATCCAAGAACGTGGTCACGGAGCACCCCGACTCCCACCCCAGAGTGGTGGCTGAAACTAAGGGTGAGAAGTCCCCAAGGACAGTGGAGAGACCTGGGAGGGCAGCCTTCAAAGGTGGCATCGATGGACAGCAGGGAGCAGGGATCTAGAGCTCCCCGGCTGGGCAGAGATGGTCAGAAGGACTTGGATCAGGCTCTGAGAAGACAGGAAATCCAGCAGGTCATCCTCCCAAAGGAGTCTGCATAGTGGGTTCTGAGACGGCCAATCAAGGCTTCAGGCCAGTTGCCTGGGAGCTCAGGCAGCCCCTTGTCCACTCTGGTCAGGACATCATCTAGAACATTGTGTACCTGGGCAGAGTAGAGCCCAGGAAGTTGAGGAAGGAGATAGAGAGGGGATTGATCCAGACTAGGTGCCAATGACCTGGTGAAAGTTCATACATACATACTGAATCTCCTGAGAATCAGGCTTTCAGGGGTGGCTTTGAGCTGCATGTTTGTTCTCTGACTGTCTGATCTCTGCCCTTCAGATGTGGTGCCAGTGCCAGAGACGCCAACCCGGGCACCCCAGGTCATCCTGCATCCGGTGACCTCCAATCCAATGTAAGTGAGGCATGGACCTGCTTCCGCCACCCTGGGCCCTCCCATCTGCTCAGGATCACCGTTTTCTGTTTCCCTCTTGCTGGCATTGGAGGGGTGGGTAGAATGAGAATGTAGGGGCCTGAAAGGCATAAGGCACAACTCTGGCAAAGAGAAAGGACCCAGCAGCCCAGACTGGACCCAGCAGCCCAGATGGACACCCTGGGGACCAGCTCTGCTGGTGGCACTGGCCCTGTGATTTCCAGGAATCAAACTACTTCCTTGGGTTCTCCAGATCCCCCTTGATCCCCCAGACCTAGCTGAAATATCAGGAAAGGGCAGTTAGTTTATGTTACTGATTCCCTCTTAAAACCTGTAATTCAAGATTATGCTGGGAGTCAGCAAACAGCCATCAGAAAAAATGCAACCTGCCACCTGCTTATATAAATAGAGTTTTAGTGGGATACAGGCATGCCCCTGTGTGCACGCTGTACTCTGTATGGCTGCTTTTTCCATGCAGCACCAGAGTTGAGTGGTTGTCATAGAGATTGTATGGCCCACAGTGCCTGAATGAATATATTTACTGTCAGGGGAAAAAAAAAAAAACCTGTTCATCTCTGATTTATACTATTACCAAAAAAAAAAAAGAAAGAAAGAAAGAAAAAGAACAGATGATGATTTTGGAGAACTTGAACCATTCTCTAGAAAAGAAAAGGAAAAGCTCTATGAGAATGTTCAGATCTTACATGGCTGTGGTCCACAGTAAATGTATTTCTTACTTTGTACATTTTTCCTACTGTTCTAGACTCTTCCTAGACATTGTGTTTCATGACTGTAAAATGTCATGTCGATGTAGAATGATTTTCTTAGCCATTTCTCCCTTGCTGCGTCTGTCAGTGTTTCCCATATTGCACCTCCGTGAACCTCACCGTGCTGAACGTCTTCGTGTACAGCATCTTTAGGGCACAACCCCCTTTCCAAGGGGTCTCCTGCTCGTATACCCTAACTTCTTTGGCTGTGCCCAAAGTCCAGAGCATACTAGGATTTGACCCTTTTCCCAACTCTTTTTTTTTTTTTTGTTTGCCTATTTGATTTTCCCCCTGGTTCCTCTAACTGATCCAGTGTCACAGAGTTTGTTCAAGACCCAACCGGTACATCTCTGAAATCAAACAAGCAGCCGCTTGCCAGAGGGTATTGTGCTGACATGGAACTTTGTCTCATTTCTCTGCTGCATATAAGCCGGTTCCACAATTGGTGCAAGACAAACTCCAGGTTATTAACTGACAGCCGAGGAGTGCTGGTGAGAAACAGAATCAATAGCTGCTGGCGATCAGCTTAACTGTGCATGGAGTGATGGGAATTCACTCTTTGCAGAAAGGAATAATTGAATAGCCCTGGCTGCTGGAATCAACTTCTTGATGCAAAGAGAAGAGGGCAGCCGGTGCATTGCTAGGCACAAGGAGGGCCTCTCACTGCATCGCCCAGCCCAAGGCTGCCCCAGGGCATCAAACTCTCAGCCTCTCTGCTGTCACTAAACAGGTTCCTTCTGTCTTCCCCAACTGGACTAGAAATAATTGCTTAGTTCAGTGGCAAGTGACACTTTGCCAGTGAGCATTCTCTCAGTCATTCCTGTCTCTGTCCAGACCCTCCTCCAGGACGTGGATTGACTCTGCATGTGGAGTCAGGAATGGAAAGAACCCTCCAAATGAAGAGTTGGATGGGGAGAATCTGTTAATTTCTGCTGGGGAAACAGGAAGTGGGTGTGGCCCCGGTTCTTCTTGTGCTTTCAGCAACCCTGTTACTATCTCCCAGCTATGCCCCTGACTCCAGTTAAAAAATTATATATGGCCCCAAAGCACACCTCAGTGGTCACTGGACCCAGCAGAGTCCCTCAGCCAACCCCCCAGTGAATACTCAGCTGTACCATCAGCATACAGCACGCTCCAACTCACATGCTTGTAATGGAGCCCATCCCTTAATACTCACATGGTTCTCACGGGTACTCACACGGTGCCCAGTGCTTGCTTTGGCAGCGTGTATGCTAAAATTGGAACACACACAGTGCCTAGTTCATAGCCTCAGATGACAGCTGCGCTTTATGAGCTTGTGAATTCACACACCACACGCACACCTATATCTTCCAGTCCTGTGCGTGTGTTGTTATCATCCCACACATTCTGATTCCCTGTGACTGGCACGGTCCAGTTCAACTGCTGAGCTTTCAGACATATCCAAGAATTCTCTCTGCTCAGAATGTCTGCAACATTACACGTGCGTTCCCGACTTTTGACCTTCGTCCCTTTCTGCCTTTCCTCAGCACCTGCCTACTTGCTTTAATTCCTCCAATAGTAATAGAATATTCCTGACAGCCAGGGACAATGTCAGTTTCAACTCCATGTTTCTCCAAGAGCCTGGCTCTGCTCATGGCACACAATTCTAATAGAATTGCTGACTGACTAAATGAATGAGTAGTTGAATGAATGAGCAGACAAATATTAAGATCCTTCCAGAATCCAAATCTGAGTGAACTTTAGAGATCCAATGAATTTTTTCTTGGAACTCTAAGGATTCTTCTGCTCACAGTAGTTAGGCCACTGGATAATGAAGCTGCCAAATTAGTTGAAAGCAATGCAGAAAATCAAGCCCTTAAAAATCTTTTAAAAGCAATATCCTTGCATACTGCTTTTTGTTTTGTAGTGAGATGAAGGGTTATTTCAGACATGATTGTTAAGATGAAATGTGTGTTAAAGGCCTGGTGGAAAGGACTTCCCATTTTATGAATTCTTTGCACATAGCTACACTCAACACCTGGACCTACCTTGTCACCTGTGGGTCACATTTATTTTTCTTTTCTTTTTTTTTTTTTTTAAAGCTTGGAAGGAAATCCATTACTTCAAATTGAAGTGGAGCCAACTTCAGAGGTGAGAAATGGACAGCAGTGAGCCAACGTTTTCTAGGGGTTGCCCAGAACTTGGCAAAAGCCAATTGATGTCTCTGATGCCACTGAGGGCTTGGGGCGGACAGGGGACACTGCAGCCCTAGGTGATGAATGTTCAGAACTCCAGGACAATTAACCAGCAGCGGCCCCTCCCGGCGCTGAACCTAATGGGCCATTATATGGTGTGCATCACGGAAAAGCCAGTTGTGCGCAAGCTGGGGAGAGATTTGCATTTGTAGTTGAAAAATTAGCTCAAGGCAGGGTGAATGTGGAAGGTGCTGTGCCTCACTGCCTTCCTACGAACATGTGGGAGGAGGGGGAGACCTCAGGGATGCTGGGCTTGCTGGAGTGCTGTGAGTATCCTTCTCTCCACCTGCCCATGCCATTGAAAGAATAAATGAAACATTCTGTGGGTTGTGGGGGAACCCCAGGAGTCCCAACCCCTTTGCTCAGCTAATTGAAAGGAATCATCAGGGTTTCCAGAAGAAATGTAGTGCTCTCTTCTGGGACCATTGAAGGAGTTGGGAGAGGAACTTGTGCACAACCGGTGTGTCCTGCATCACAGAAGGCAGCTTGTTCAGGTGTTCTGGGGGCAGGAAGACCTGCACTCAGTTAAAAAGCTCTCAGGCCACTGTTAACATGCAGAAACCCAAATGTTAGTTCTTCTGCCTGACCTATGGACACGTACTAGCCATCCCATTTCAAGGGGTGTTCTGAGATGCGCAGTTCCTGACAAAAACCAGCAAAGTCCCAGACAGCTGGGATGGGTGGTCCCCATGGGTAGGTCCTCTAGCATTTCTGCCCTCTGAGATTGTTTCTCTCCCTTAACACAAGAGAACTGAACTACCGAGGTCTCCATATCAGCTTCTTCATTGTCTAGCACAGAGCATCCAGGAGAAACAGATATATAAGAGGACTTCTAAAAGTTCATGGAAAATAGAATCAAGAGATAAGTTTTCTTGGTGCAGAAATTTCTGGAATCCATGCATAGCTTTTTCTTGTTGGGCATTTTCTGGGAACTTTCCAGTGACTCCCTGGTCTATGTTCATATCAACCACCAATACACATACACATGAACCCAGATATTTCCATGCATGAGGAACTCAGCAGGAATCTGGGCAAAAGTGGGGCAGTATCAGCCACAGCTCTGACCTTTCCCTTCTCCTGTCTTGGCCACAGAATGAAGAGGGCCATGACGAAGCCGAGGAGTCAGAGGATGACTTCGAGGAGATGAACCTGTCTCTCCTCTCCGCCCGGAGCTTCCCGCGCAAGGCCAGCCAGACCAGCATATTCCTACAGGAGTGGGACATTCCCTTTGAGCAGCTGGAGATCGGCGAGCTCATCGGAAAAGGCCGCTTCGGGCAGGTGTACCACGGCCGTTGGCATGGCGAGGTGGCCATTCGGCTGATCGACATAGAGAGGGACAACGAAGACCAGCTCAAGGCCTTCAAACGGGAGGTGATGGCCTACAGGCAGACACGGCACGAGAACGTAGTGTTGTTCATGGGCGCCTGCATGAGCCCGCCACACCTGGCAATCATCACCAGGTCAGTGTTTGTGGGGCCAGAAAGTTCTGGCATAGTTGAGATGGACAGTCCTGGTGCCTTCACCATTCTGGTCTGTAGAAGGACTCTTCAGGAAGTTTAGAATGAGGAACTAGAAACATAATTTTAGTTTGGTGCAGAAAATTTTGGAATCCATGCATAGTATTTTTTTTTTGTAATATGCATTTCCACAGACTTTTTAAAAAATGCATGTATATATGTACGTGTGTATGTATGTATTTGTAAGGCAGAGTGGCAGAGGGAATGACAAAAAGATAGAGATCTGGTTCACTCCCTAAATGCTTACCATAGCCAAGACTAAGGTCAGGCTAAAACTGCAAGTCAGGAACTCGATCAGGTCTACCACATGGATAGCAGGGATCCGCATACTTGGACCTTTACCTGTCACCCCTCAGAATACATACTATCAGGTAATAAGATTGGAATTGGAGGAAACAGGACTTGAACATCACACCGTAGTATGACTTGTAAACATCCCAAGCGGGCTGCCCAATCCTCTCCTCAGCCATGAACTTTTGAAGACTATGCATGGATTTCAAAAACATTTTTTACACCAAAATTTCCTTGTAATCTCACTGTTTGTGAACACCAGGAAGTACCCTCATACAATACCTGCAAAATCTACCATTTACTTTACTTGCAAGGTTTTAAGACTTAGGATTCCAGAACATTCTTTTCCTGTGACGGCTCTGCAGTTCAGCAGTGTCTTGCAGAGAGCACTGAATGGCAAATCAGGAAAGGTGAATCTGTTTGCCTGGCTTCTCCAGTGTCTGTATGAACTGCTCTCTGAGACACACTCCCTCCTTATGTGAAGAAATCTTCTGTCCACTGGTTCACTCCCCAGATGCCTGCAATAGCTGGCACTCAGCCAGATTAGATCCAGCAACCAGAAACTCAATCTGGGTTTTCCACATCAGTGGCAGGGACCTCGAGTATTAGAGCCATCTCCTCCCAGGCTGTGGCTTAACGGGAAACTGGAATCAGGTTTGGAGCTGGGACTTGAAACCAGCTGCTCTTAGATGAGATGTGAGCATCCTAAGCAATGTCTTAGCCACCAAGCCAACAGCTGCCCCTGAGACTCCTATAGCAACTCCTCTGCTCTGTCACTATGGCATGAAGTCAGCCAAGGACTATCTGTGAAGGAATGCCCATGGCTATGTTCTAATCAAACCAGAAAGTAGGCTGGATTAGGCCATTGGCCCTTGAGTCTGGTGACTATTCTGCTTTCATTAAAGTTGCAAAGTGCATTTGCAGTGCTTAGCATCCATGTTCTCAACGTCCAGAATCTGGGGCCTGTGCGTGCACAGAGGTTACAACAGTCCCTAAGATGAAGAAACAGCAGGGACAGGCATGTGGCCTAATGGTAAAGAGGCCAGTTACAATGCCCACGTCTCACAGCAGAGTACGTTGAGTTTGAATCTTGGCTGTGGCTCCTAACTCCAGCTTCCTGCTAATGCCTACTGTGTGGATAATACAAGTCATTGGGTCCCTGGCAGGGACATGGGAAGCCTGTGTTGAGCTTCCAACTCCCAGCTTAGCCCTATCCCAGCCCTGGCTATTGTGGGTGTTTGGGAATGAACCAGTGAGCAGGAATAATCTGTTTCTACCTCGTCTCCTCTCTCATAAATGTACAAATGAAAAATGTCAGACAATAGTGACTTTCTTGGGCTTATGCTCTCTAATCTCATTCAGCAACATCGGGAATTAGGGGAAAACATGGCTCTGGGTTCGGTTGACCAGTTGTGAAACAGACTTTGCTATGTTTTTTCACTCTGGCATCTGCTGCTCTGTTATATCAGAACTGGCCAGAGCACCTGTGTTCTTGGTATACCCTGTATGCCAGTAAGAATTCTCTCTCCTTCCTATACTCAGCGCATGTGGTATGCTCCTAAACTCTAGATAGGAGCTGTGGACTCAGAAAAAAAATGTGTGTCCTTGAGAGACAAATTTTATTGAGCTCATCTCTGAGACCATAGTAATGGGTGGAGGTTGTGTATTGTGTCTCACCCTTGGTGAGTTGACTGGAGCCCAAGTATTGAAAGGTAAATGTTTGCAAATGAATGCAGCTCTGAGAATGGGCCTTCAACCCTCCTTAAACAAGGGTTAAAAGGGTCTGGCTCAACTGTGTAATCCACAAGAGGTTCTCAAGACATCAGCCCAGGTAATATTCAGCAAAGGAGCTGTTCTGATGAAGCACTGTAAGCGTGGGAAGCTTTTGATGAGTAACAAACTATCCCTAAAGCAGTAATAGTTTGTTTTTGTCTGGTGAAGAGACAAAAAAATCACTTGCATTTGCACAACTCTGGGCTGAGTGTGAGAATCTCAGTGGCTGGGCTCTTATAGACAGGTGGCTGTGGTCAGCATTAGGTGGTTGGGGGACTGGGCAGTGTTGGATGACCTAGCTCACTGGCCTGCTGGTTCCTACTATGGCATGCCTTGGTTCTCCCCCACATGGCCTCTCATCTCTTGTCTGGCTTGTCCCTGTGGTGGTCTCAGATCAGCTCCCAGGCATGCTGGGAGGGCACAGTTTAACACACAGGTGTTTTTCACATCTTTGCTTGTGATGCATTAGCTAACATGCCTTGGCCAAAGCGGCTCACATAGTCAAGGGCTGGGGAAGCGGACTCTACCTCTGGATGGGAGGACCTACACTGTCCATTGCAAGGACATCAGCACAAGGAGGGACATCTGTGATCACTTTCACCATCGACTGCCTGCCAACAAAACCCTTCACAGAATATCTCGTTTTAGCAGACGGTTGGTAGCCCTTTAACTTGGCATGCACAAACCTGATTGGACAGTGGTCTTTCTACTTTGCTCCTGTCTTCACCTGTTACCTTAACCTTCTCTGCCATCTGTACCTCACCTCCTGGCCTATCAACCCTACTCTTTTTCATATCCCTAAGTTAGAAATCTGAAATCTGCTGCGTCCCAGTTCTTTGACTTTTCCCATATTCTCCACGGAGCCCAGGTACCCAATAAGGCTGGCTAATGGGAAGTGAAAGGACTCAGTTAGCAGCCATCCTTGAAAGCCGAGTGGCCATTATGAAAATGTGTTGCTCAGCCTTCCAGGCAGCTGTGTTTGCGGCCCTCTTCTATTATCAGCTGAATCCTGAGCCCCTCTCCCCAGCGCCATAACTGCCTACAGATTTCACAAATAGCCCAGCCTTTTCCTGGCACCGCATAAAGACTCCGCAGCTTTGGGACATGTAATTGGTGTTTGAAGTGTTTGGGTATTTTGTATGAGGATGCCAGATGAGCCCAGAGAAGTGGCATTTATCCCATATTATTGTGTTGTTATATATTTATCTTAGGGAGGGGCTGTGTGCACCCCTCTCTCCCGTTCAGCACCGTCCACTTGTTGGCCATTCATGTTCCTCATCCAAATGTTCACTCTGAAACTTAGTGTCTGAGTAATGCAACTAATCACTTGCATTTGCACAGTTGACTGGCAGAGGTCGACGGTTGGACCCTAGCCAACCAACTGGAACAATTTTTTTGGACCATGGATTTATTTTACAGGGAACATAAGACCAGATAATTCCCCAGCATATTCTGGATAAATGCACAATGGCGTGTTCTAACCAATTACTTAGTGATTATCATAGAAGTTAACACGTATTGCTAAGATTAGCTTCCTTGTAATGCAATATGTATGGCTCTGGGGGAATGAGTAATAACCAACTAGTTACCCAATTGCTATATCCACAAATGCAATTAGGAGCAGGATTGCTAAATCGTTCCACGATCAGGGCATTATGGGATTATTACAAAGCTATTGACAGTCTGCCTGATCAGTCATGTTAAAAACTCCAAAAGGGGGCCATGCACAATAACCTAGTGGCTGAAGTCCTTGCCTTGCAAGCACCAGAATCCCATATAGGCACCAGTTCTAATCCCAGTGGCCCTGCTTCCCATCTAGCTCCCTGCTGGTGGCCTGGAAAAGCAGTCAGGGACAACCCAAAGCCTTGGGACCCTGCACCCACGTGGGAGACGTAGAAGAGGCTCCTGGCTCCTTGCTTCAGATCGGTGCAGCTCCAGCTGTTGTGGCCACTTGGGAAGTGAATCAATGGACACAAGATCTTCCTCTCTGTCTCTTTTCCTCTCTGTCAATCTGCCTTTTCAATAAAAATAAAATAAATCTTTTTAAAAAATAAAAATCAATATTAAAAAAAACCACTTCCACTGAGGGGACCCCTCCCCCAATTAGGGGTTCAGAAAGGCTTTTGTAGTAGTGTTGTCCTGAGCACTGTGGCATGTAAAGTGGCATCCCTTGCCTTGACCCACTCAATGCCAGTTCTCATCATCTGAAAGTGTGACAACCCAAAAATTCCAAACGGTGTCACTTTCATCAAGTCTTCTAAGTTTACATAAGTCTGAGGGCAAGCAGAGAAACACATGTTCAGTTAAGAACACATATACAGGGCCAGAATATTAGATAAGACATTCACTGTCTACTTTAGAACTTGGCTAACTGCAAAATTTGTTTCTGTAAACTGTACTTGCTTGCTTGCTTGATTGCTTCAGTTCCTTACTATCAAGCAGGATGTAGCTCCCAGTCTGTATGAACACTTGCCTGTTGATGACTTAGACTAATCAAGCTCCAAGAAATGTTACCAGGTCAATCAGAGGCCACACCAGACAGGGAGATGGTAACGTTTAGACATAGACACAGTAACTTAATTGGCAATATGATTGTTTCTCCTGAAGGTGCCTGGCAGTTGGGTTGTAGGTGGTAAACCTTCATCTTATTCTCAGATTAGGAATCAGCCATAAAATTTCCCCTGATAGCCCAGGCCAAAATATGGGTCCTTTATGACCCTGGGAGGAAAGAGTGACCAACCTTGAGAAGACAAGAATTCCTGACAGTTCCCCCTTTATCACATTGTGCCAATGCTAGCTTAGTTGATTGGACAATTTTTCATGCCAGTGTGAGCTTCAAAGCCCATAACTGCAGTCCGTCTGGGCTGCTCCCCTCTTCC